GATCTATTTTAATTAGCCTGGAATTAGATGAGTGAATTACTTGTGCACACCTGAGAGAAAAATGGGTCAGAACCAGACAATTAATAATTAAGTCACTTCTTGATAATTAAGGTCTATTACCAAAACATTGCAGTGATGAATATCAAATTACAGACGATGCCAGTGTGCATGACTTATTTAATCTTTCATCAAGAAAAATGGAAGGTTAAACATTCCTGTTATGTATAACTTTGTCCTGCCTACAGTATCACATCTTGCAACATAGTCAACAGCATGACAACATCATGCGTCCAGTTGGAGCAGGACAGCATAGCACATCACTTTCATTAGTCCATATGACGGTTGACAGACTGACACTTGGAAACTGGAGGGTAGGAGAAGCAGCATGACCTATAAAGGCCAGGAGAGTTCATACCATTTCAAACCACTGCCACAGGGTGATTGGACACAGTAAACAGTCTGATTTTGTTGTTCTTGGAAAAGAACTGTGCTGTACTCATGTGATGGCAGCATGAAGCATTCCTAAGTTTAATATGCGGTACATGTAAGCCAAAAGTGGACACCTAGCTTTTCAGCATAAACTTTATAATTTATAGAATCTTTGTCAGTTTGCAGTGATTTAAAGCAGCACTCTGGCCTAAAACGTTTTAGTATGTTATTTGTCATGTTTTTTTAATATCCTGTAGCCCATCATTGCATCCCTCAGCCTCATCAGTTTGCCAGAAATCTTAATTTTTTGTCCTTTTTGTGCTTTTGTCCATGTGTTTTCTCAGTACAGTACCCAACATGCATTACATAAATACTTTATACAACCACTTGAAATCCCCTTCCATCCCTTTAAAACATCCCACAGCAATAAAGACCATAGGCCATGATGTAGACACTAATAAAAGCGGACAAACATTTTAAACAGCCTATCTTCAAGTTTCCTCACTCAAAGCAGCTGTAGATTTTCAAAATCTCCTAACATCAAGATACATCATTGGAAGGTGTTTTAGTCTTTAAACCAGACACTCCAAGTTTGGAGACTACTACAGCTCCGCTATGAGAGGAGAGTAGGCATATTTACAACAAATGTAGTAAAAGGTAAATGTTTCATTTTGGCCAGAGTGTCCTTTAACATATTAAGGAAACTATTTGTGACTGTGAGCCTGTTTACACTTAGCCACTTAATGCATCTTGGGTTGAGTGATTATATCTCAGAATGTAAAAAAAGCCAAATTCACTCGAGATGCATTGGAGACCGATTGGAGACTCTCTCTCTCACTCTCTCTCACTACTTTAGGAGGTGGCACGAGAGAATTCACATTTCTAAGAAGACAGGGTGCCCCCAGACTTTTGGTGGGCAGTATACGCAGTTCAAGAATAATCTTTACTATGGTCTGCTAACTACTGTAGCACTTTCCAGTGCTATTCAAGTCAACTCAAGTTTATTTATATAGCGCTTTTTACAACAGGCGTTGTCACAAAACAGCTATACAGAAAAATCCGGCTCCAAGCCCCCATGAGCGTCGCCAGTGGAGACAGTGGAGAAAAACGCACTAAGAGTAAGAGAAAGATACCTTCAGAGGAACCAAGACTCAAAAGAAAAACCCATCCTCCTCTGGTCGACACCGAATAGCAAACAGTAACAGCAGAGAATGAGGTTTGACCATCAGTATAAGATACGAAAGCCTATGGTTAAAAAATGCCGCAGTATCATTCAGACTGTGGATCTACAATCTGAAGCATACAATAATGCCAGGAATGACTTCAGTGGTGATTTTAGTAGGTTATTAAATCTGATCTAATCTAGGAGATTTTGCTCTACTGATACACCAATCTTTTGTTGAAGAAAGAATTGCAATGCCTCTTGGATACAGTTTAATCCTAGTCGCATATGGTCTCAGTGTTGTTTGTCAGCAGTGCATGAAGCTAGAAGCTGATACTGCTTCATCTAAAGCAGATGGTGAAATGATTTATGGTTGGTTGTAAAAGTAAGCTATGTAGATAACTCATAACTCGTGGTAAGAATATTTTTGCACACACAAATTGAGTTCTTCAACTTAGGAATGTAATCAGCTGTGAAGTTTCCTTTTCTTTTTCCTCAAAGTTGGACGTTGCTTCATGTCTCCTGGCAATTAAAATCAATTCCTGGAAAAGCTGAGCTATAGCCATTTTTTAACATGTCAAAGTATTGAGTCTTTTCAAGGCAGTCGTTGTTTTGTAATGAATACAGTTCTGGGATTGTCAGAGCTGTTTACCCCTTTTTAAAGAGAACCAGATTCTGGTCTTCAAAACCTATTCTGAATACAGTTAGTCTGATAAGAGTGTTTACCTTGTATCTCACAATTATGTCACCTTCTTCACAAAGAAATAATGCTGTTCCCTATCAAGCTGTCGTGCAGCAGGCTGAATACCAGTTTGTGTGCTAGACTTGCTCTTGTTTATTGTCCTTGTAAATGCAGTAAAATGTGACACATCATGTGGAATGCCAAACCCAATGATTTCAACAAACTAGATCATGTTCCAGAGATTGCTGAAGAATTCCCAATATTTGTTGTCGATGACCTTTCAGTCCAGCCATTTGAGTGAGTTGATGTACAGCAGACCGTTCTTAAGATCATGAGTGTGTGTATCCCACATCTGCATACACATGGAAATTACATATGGTTCCTTGGAACGACTCCAGCTGATATATCACTTCACTTGTTTTCCCCTGAGAAGCTCCTACTGACAGGTTTATAGCAGGAATTAAAGCTAACAGGTATCAAATTAAACCAGCTTCTGATGTGCACCTCTGCACCTTCTGTCTCATGGCAATACATTTACTGGCATCAAGTGACGTGAAACAGAAGTCTGCAGAAGCTTATAAGAGGGATACACTTTTATTTTATTGCGATGAGACCTCCAGACAGCAGGTTCTAAGTCTGCCTCGCCTCAGAACAGAACAATTAAACCCAATAGCAGTCAAATAACATCTGTCTGCTCCTATAATCTCTGAGTTGCTGCTTGAAATAAGAACTTTGGAATTTGCCATAAGCAGATATGTGTTTTGTTTTTTTTTGTTTGTTTGTTTTTTTTCTCATCAAAATCTGAAATTAGGGTGGCTAAACTTTTTGTGTAGGGTGATCGAAGTTTGATTTTTGGTGGTAGTTTGTTTTTGCACGTAGTCAGTTATATGCGCGTATTCTTTAAATACTCCAGTTGTTTACTTATATACAAGGTACACTGCCTTGCGTTTAAATTCCGTGAAAACGTTATTGTTGTCTCTGTCCTCTTGTCCATGTGCCTCCACTGCAGGTTGTGCTCTGTTGACTCAAAACTGCTGGCTACGTACATAGTTTTACAGCTGCATTGCAGTCACTGACATCTGGGTGTTGTCGAAGGTTGTAAATTTTGTTTTATATTTTATAAAATTACACCACGCCTGTCTAAATGGACAAAAAAGTTGGCCCACAAGGACACAAGGTTGCCCTAATTCACCCACCCTTTCACTGAATGAGAGAACAAACATTCTTCTTTTTCTTTGATTATTTTTTTTGAAATACTTTTCATAATAGAACATGGAGTCTGATGTTATAAAAATCTGAACAGTTGTCAGTAAGCGCAACACAGATGTAACATATGTAACATACATATCAACACTGTCAGAACAAAACCTCTTATCCCCATTATTATCATTTATTAATTATCATTATAGGACAAGGGAAAAAATCATTAACTTTCAATTTAAGTTAGTGTAAAGAGATTTCATTCCAAGCAGTTTTGGTCCATTTCTGTGGGTTGAGTCATCATGAAATTTTCACACAATGTAAAGCGCAATTAGTATTTTCAAATAATGTCAAAAGGTAAAAAACAACAAAAATGGAGATGGAAGGTTTTGTTCTGATAGCAGCAATTTGCAGCTACCACTTATGAGCTAATAACAGAAATGGACAATGGTCATAACAGGCAATAGTACATGGACAAAAGATTTAAGGCCCACTGGAGCAAAGAATATCTTTTAAGGGATTTTAAAGATAAAACAGTTGCTTGTTTCATGTGGAAACTGTCATAATATTTAAAGAGTATAATATTTAGCAACACTATGAAAGCACCCATGCTATAGATTGTTCCACATACACTCGCATACAACAGTGTAAAGGCTAACAAACATTACACTTTGCCCCCAAGACAGAAAGTTTGGGCACCCCTGCACTGGCCTGTTGTCCCTACTTTGGGCAGCATTGGTTTGGAACTGTAGGTGTAACCTGATGTTGGGGAAAGTTAAGCCCTTTATTATTCTTGGCAATAAAGGTTTTGAGAGAGGGAATTATCAGGATGAATATCATTTGAAATGTTTTTCATATTCAAACCAATCAATTTCATTGATTAGACACAACGAGTTTGATCCATGCTAACTGACCCTACTGGCTTTTATTCCAGCGAACATTTATTTTCGTTAGTTAGCCACATTTGCTTTATTTGTACACTGGCAGGGCTTTGATTATGTAACCTGAAGCATTATCTGCTTTTAAAATGTCCTCTGTGGTATATGCTTCTTTTAAAAGTCGGTTGATCTGTCTGCTACAAACTGTTCCTGTTGGTCTGGGATGAAGGATTGCAGCCCTTGTTCCAAAATATGTTCTATGATGTAATTGTTATGAAAGGTCCACCTTTAAGTGGACCGCAGATGTTTTCCCAGTGTGATCGATTGTTCCCTGTGATCCAAAATGTCCTTTAATGGTTGCTACAATTAAGGAAGCAGAGGCATGATCAATACTGGAGTTTTAGAATGGCTCTTCATGTCTCGCCTGCTCATTGATTAAACTGTACATTTGAAGTGGAAATCTGTGCTTTTTATTCCCAGAGTTTGTACTAAAAAATTATACTAACATCTTTCCTCTTTGCTCACTCATCTGGTTCCTGTTACTAATAAAATTCTCTCTCGATTTTCTCTCTGCATCACCCCATTTTTCTATCCATGTTTTGTCCGTTCTCTCTCCCTGCTCCATTTCCGTGTGCTTCTCCCTTTTCAGTGTGACCAAGACCAGTGCATTCAGAGCACCAAATTCGTTTTGCAGGCCGCTGCCACTCCCTTGCTGCAGAGCGAGCCCGTAGTCATGGCGGATGAGTCGTCTCTTCCTGGCAGGACAGCTCTGGGTGGTCCGTGCACGCTGCTTCCCTTAGGCCAGCCCACCCCACCGACCTCCACGCCTAACCTGAGCTGTGAACAAGAGATGCTGCACCAGAGCCATCCTGCACCAGAGGCCCACCACCACTTTCTTACACCAGAGGAAGCCCCATCGCCTCCTGGCATGCTGCCCTGCGGCAGCCCGCTGGGCCACAGCCATACCATGCCTTTCTACAACCCTGCCAGTCAGGACTCCCTCCATGAGGACTCCGTCAGGGGCCTGGTCAAACTCAGCTCAGTTTAAATGTTCATGTAACCTTCCTCCGTCCTTCAACACCTCCCTTTAATCTGGGCCACGAACTTGGCCACTACTCAATTTAACCACCTTTTTTTTCCTCCTTTACTTGCCATCATGGGCTTTAAAGATGGCCTGAACACAGTTTGCGATACTCCAGACTGTCAGAACTTAAAGGATTTCTCTCTTTGCTCGTCTGTGGACTGTCTATGGATGCACGACCTACTGCCCTGAAGGCTGGGTGGCTGTTAAAAACAAAGGGCTGTACCTGATGGAGTGTACCGTACCATGTAAGAGGTGGTCTTACAGTTCCTCTGGAAAAAGCTGCTTCATGTCTAGGTTGCTGGGCTCCCTTTATTGTCTTTTTTTGTTGTTGTTGTTGTTTTTCTTTTTTTTGTAAATTTGACAAGCCTGGCAACTGAAAACGAACAGTGTTCTGCCTTTCATATTTCTTGAGATTACTGTTGACAGTTGATCACGTGAGTTGCTGTCATCATGTTGCATATCACAGCGTTATTTTTTAAGTTACATATTTTGAAAGGAATATGGTATTGTATTGTGCCATCATTTTTTTTTCCAACAAATTGGTATATTTCCTGTGGATATTAATAAATTCCCAGAGTTTTTAAATGGGATTCTGTAACCGTTTGTGCATCTCTCGAGTCCCTGGATTGAATGACTCAGTGTCGTATGCTGCATAACTGCGGTGTTATCTTGTGACAATTGCCTGTGGTTGTTATCCACCAAGACCTTTAATACTGTGTCATGAAAGGATGCACTGCCCAATAAAATCTTCAAATTCGCCCACTCTGTACTCAGAAGGTTCTTTAAGGACTTAAAATACACCGCACTGACACACGTGGGTGTCTCGATGCACTTCGTTTTGGTTACGTGGTGATAATCAGGTTATACGCTGTTTTCAAAATGATTACAAAGTTATGCTTCTTTATTATTTTATTTCTTGAACCAACACAATTCTAGGGAGTCTAAATGGAAACAGTCATCTTCAGTACTTGTTTTTGCCCATATCTGGTAAACTATTCAGAAATGTGGAAGCTCACTGTATGTTCATGTAACAGTTATTGTTCTAAAATTGCAGGAAGAGCAGGATCCAGTCAAAAACATCTCCTTTCGCTGGAAATGGTATGTTCAAAGACATGTTTACTGAATAACACCCCCCACCCTCAGCCTGTAATACAGATATCTAGATAACTAGCTCCATCTGGTGGCAGTGGGGTGTAGAGCATGTTAGCTTACTTGTTCTTTGAGATGAAGCTGCTTTCTGAACTTGTGAACATCATATACAGGCAGTAGACTGTGCTGCTCTGTCGGTGGAGCTGTCTTATAACTGGAGTTCAGACATCTTGTAAAAGAGAATTGGTCTGAGATTCTGATAAGCCTGAACTACATTTATAGTTCATATAAATCTATTTATGGGAGAACACACCAGAACAGTTTTTACCATATATTTATTTAAAATCATTTTATTACATGCTCTTAGATATCAGTAATCTATAAAGTACATTAATAAGAGTAACACTATGACTCTAACAGTCCATTTGCCCCCTTCTGTTTGCTCATACAGTTTTTTTGTTTTTGTTTTTTTTTTTTTGCCAAAAGTGTGTGATGGCCTTAAAACAATATATGTGTCACAATGCACTGATTGGTTTAACATAATGGTGTTCAACCTTTATTTAAGTGCACAAGAACTTTTATAGCCTCCTTTGAGAGTTGGATTTCATAAATGCAGTATGTGTCTGCTTATCTCCTTTTAAAAAGTGCATTTTTCATAACCTTTTATAATATTTTCCCCATTCCAGTATGTAAGCATGTAGTTTTGCCACTGATGTATCAGCTTCCAACAGGATGTATAATTTGGGCCAAATTATAATCTTTAGCAAAGGCTGAGAAGCATTTTATTCTTTTTATTTAAACATCTTCCACCCTCAAAATTTGTCAGTGTTTAGTGATGATCTCCGTCTCCTTTATGTGAGTTAGTTGCCACACTTAAACAGCAAATTCTGTAGATACCAATTCATGTTATGTTTTAGAAACTCAACCCTTCCTCCCATCAAGCTGATACAAAGTAACCGAGGGAACTCTTTGTCAGTGAGAGGTGTATTTTTCACTTATCATTAGTAAACAGGGTGAAAAACACAGGTTGAAATCACAATGTCCTGTCGCTGATCAGGAGTCACCACAGCTTAACGTCCTGTAACTCCAGATCCCCCAGGACCTCCAGCTGGTTAATGCAGCTCAGGTCCTGCACTCTGTGCCTGTAGTCCAGCAGGTGGGCTCCGTTTACAGCTATTTTAAATTGATGAGACTGGCACAGGATGATTATCTGAGAGGACAGAACATAATATTTGAGTCAAGATGATGTGGATAACAAGAGGAACAGCTTTCCTAAAGAAAGAGAATACGCCTAAATACATTTGGGCAGACATGTTATTTACCCCACCATGGGAAGGACTAATGTGAGTTCCCAAGTTTCGCCACAGACCAGTAAAAGCTGTTAGTTACAGGTACAACAAATAGTCATGAATTGTTATATTCACAGAGGTCCAGAGAGGCCATGAGCTGTTGCTGTAATTTTCTGGATTGTTATCTTGAGATAAAAAGTTAATTATCGCATGATCTCAACATAACAACTTTATCTTGAAATAACAAGATAATTAACTCATTATCTCAAGATATCTTTTATTACGAGATAACTCATTTGTTATTTCAAGATAACTTTATTTTTGAGATTACAAGATAATTAACTCATTATCTCAAGGCAACAACTTTTATCGCAGGTTAACTCATTATTTCAATATAATTACTTTATCTTGAGCTAACAAGATAACGAGCTTGTTATTTCAAGATAGCAGCTTTATCTTGAAATAACAAGATAATTAACCCATTATCTCTAGATAACAACTTTTATCATGAGATAAGATAACTAATTTGTTATTTCAAGATCATAACTTTATCTTGAGATAACAAGATGATTAACTCATTATCTCAAGATAATAATCCAGAAAGTTATGACTACCATATGGTCTCTCTGGACTTCCATACACATTTGTTTGTAATGTGCTTTTTTTGCCTAGTGTGTTCATCTCCAGTTCCTTGTTTTATGCACCACATGACTCGCCATGAAGCAACAGTGTCACCTGTCTGGAACAGCTTTCTTTCCTCATACTTCCATATAAAACCCTTGGAACAAGGGTTTGCAGTGTCCTCAACAGAAATATAGCCCTTTTATTTAGTACCCAAGATGACCAGTGAACCTCTGAGTGATTATATGTAGTGTTGTTTATGATTATATCTGTAATGTTATATGCCTCTCTCTACCGTGAAATGAAGAATGTCAGGCCAACCGTAAAACTATGTCAACACCAGGCAGTGCATATGTAACCATTTAATGATCTAACTTTCTGTGAAGTAGCTCTGAGAGGCTTTACAGACGTCAGACGTCCCCAGGGGTCGCTCGACGCTATCAGAAGACCACCCTTATGATGCAAGTAATTTCTCATTCTTGAGCAATAGAAGACGTCAGTACCTCAAAGTATTTCCCAGCTGAGAATGGGAAGCACAGCAGCTCAAGCTCCTCCGGGCCCCACGACTGGCTTAAGAAAGAGTTGCGGACAAACATGCCTGATTTGATGCGAGCGTTGAGGTGCAGAGCGATGTTTTCTGACTGACTGCATCTCAGGTTTACAGTAAAACTGAAAGACAAAGAAGAAAAACATTTATAGTATCATAGAGATATTGAAATGGGAAAAGACCCAGGCGTGTAAACTTACCTGTGAGGAAATAAGCTGACATGCCCCTTGATTGTGATGTGCTGTCCTGGTCTGAGCCCTTTAAGTATACTGCCTTTGTAGGGTATACTCTTGAGGAAAGAAACATAAAGGACAAAAAAAACAGCATTTACATCAGAGGTGCCAAGAGTATTATGCCTTCGAGGGTATGTTTGTGGTGGGCCGAGGGCTAAAAAGACAGTGTGCAAGTAAAGAAGGTAGGTTTCAAATTGAGTTTGTAAGTTTTTATTTTATAACATTACAACTGTAACTGTAAAGGAATTTAGTAAGTTGGTAAAAAATATATCGCCGTTGTTGGAAGAAAACCTTGTATCTCCAAAATGAGAACTTTACAGGAAAAGGAAAAAACCTACTTTACTTTTAATGTAAGTCAATGGAACCAGACTGTTTTTCCAAGTAATTTTGGGCCGTTTCTGTTGGTCCACTCATTGTGAAATTTGAGAACGTTACATCACTGAGAAGGAGAAAGAATTGTTAAACCATCCAGCATCACCTCCTTGACTGTACCGCAACCCTCTGCTTTGGTCTGAAGGGGTTCTGTTTTTAATTATTTCACTTATTAAGGGAGATTTCCACCAATTTTTAGATGCAACTACATATTCAGGTTTAGATGTGTGTGTGTGTGTGTGTGTGTGTGTGTGTGTGTGTGTGTGTGTGTGTGTGTGTGTGTATATATATATATATATATGTGTGTATATGATGTCCTCAGAGAGGCCATATTTAGATAATATGAGCATTAGTAGGCTGTAAAATGAACTTACCAAATCACCTGATTCTGAAAATATTGCCTGTGGAATAAAAAAAGCATTTTATTTTGAATCACTTTGCTGACATTTTTTCCTAAAATCAACTGGTATTGAAGCTACTCACTGAGTTGGGGACGTAGCCAATGGCCTGTATTTTGACTTTTCCTGATACGGAGAATGTGTCGACCCTTTCCAAAGGGATTCTGTGCTTATACTCCAGTACATGGGCACCGTTTACTGCCACCTAGAGGAGCGACTGACCAGTCAGCAGCAAGGTACAAATAAAGTAGCCTCAAAAATGTTAGGTTTTAATAGCAATGATTCATTTTTATCTAGATGATTTATTATCTTTTTAACTAGACAAAGCCTACTGGGGTAGAATTGCAAATCCAGGACAGGTTCATTCCACTTCAGGATGATCGTAACCCCAAATATTAGATCCTCCTATATTAGATATTGGATAGTATTTTAAATATGGACCCTCATCACAAGCCAGAAGATCTCAACCCCCATGGACTTCCTCCAGTCTACACTGCTCTCTTCTGAAGTTCCTACCTTTCATGTCATGCGACCTCATGACTGCTTGCCTTACCTTGAAGACATCTTCATGGACCAGGATGATGGTCTCAAAGGATGTGCCTTGCCTGAAGGGCATCTGGTCGAGCTTCTCCTCTCTGCCCCAGCTGCCCTGCTGCAGAGAGTTGCAGACGATGCTTGGGGGGTTCCTGAAGCGGGGGTTGAAGTGGAACGCAATGTCAGCCCGGGGTTTGGTGCTGCTGCCACAGCTGAGGTCAAACTGGAACCTGTGGGAGCCGGTCAGAGCCACTGGTCAGAAAGTGAGCTGAGAGGCCTACAGAGGTACCAAGCACAAATATCACCGTGGCCAGGCTTTCCACTGGACTGTGCGAGACATGGAGGTTAATAAAGGTTAATAAGAGTTAACAGAAGTGTCATACCTGTCAGCTTCATTGAGGACGCAGCCTTGAATAACAACCATCTCTCCCGGATGAAGCCCACCTGCTATCGTTCCTGTGAAAGGAACTACCTGAAGCGAAACAGTGGAGAGAGCATGGGTTCAGCATCAACAGTGTGGACTGATTAAGGCCAATATATCGATTATGGATTATCTACGACGACCAATCCAATTCTAGCACCGCGGCTGTGTTGTGAGCCGCTGTTTTCGCCGTGGTGAGCGCTCAGGCTCCAGCTCGGCGCAGACCGCATCTCTCAGGCTAACCGCATCAGCATCGTTCGTGCTTGCTGGGGGAAAATGAGAGCCAGAACTCGTGATTACTCACCGGATTGAAAATGGTCTGCCTCGCATTCGCCACGGACATTGGTAAACGAGTGTAAATGTGGGTCAGCAGCTGCCGGTTCGTCGCTGTTGTGCCGTGTTTACGTGCTCAGATCGCCATTGTGCTGGAGGAGGGAAGAGGCAGCCTGAGACGAGCAGAGCGGATTATATGGCAAATATAAGCACCTTTACTGCCCACTCGCTCTCTTTCAGGGCATTACCACTAGTTTTATTCCGGAAAGCAGGGCAGAGCCTGGTTTCATGGCCTTATTCTAAAAATAAATCAAATACGAATAAAAAACAGGATGGAAATTTAACCATTTTCTACGGAGCCCCGCTGGTGACATCCTGTATAAATAAAAATAACGCGTGGCCACGACTTAGTAAGCCGTGATCTCGTTCCCACGCCTTACCAAGTCGTGGCCACGACTTAATCATCTCATTCCCATGCCTTACTAAGTCGTGGCCATGCATTAGGATCTTGTTCCCACGCGTTAATAAGGCGTGGCCACGCATTATTTTTATTTATACAGGATGTCACCAGCGGGGCTTCGTATTTTTCAGCTTTTCAGCACTCTTTACTGTCTTAGTTCATTACTCTGTGCCTGAGGACAATTTAGCTGCAGTACTGTAGATTTCAGCACAATTACACACACATTTCACTTATGATTATTAATAATAATAATAATAATAATAATAATAATATGAAGTCAAAATTATGAGCTTTTCTGCAGTTCTGTACATATTAGCACAGTTACAGACACATTTCACTTATGAATATTAACAATAATAACCATAATGATGATAATGATAATAGTAACAATAATAATAAAATAATATGAAGTCAAACTTTAAATGGAGTCTGTCACAGTTAAACTGGGCAACCCTGATGAAAAAGGACCTTTAGAAACCATTAGGATTAAACCTAATGGTTTTGCTTTCTACTGGGAATTGGCTCAATAGTTTCCAATAGAGACCACTAGTTTCCTGTAGAACACTTTTAAATCCCATTAGGAAGCCTTCAAATGCATTTAGAATCAGATCAGCCATTGGTCGCCTGTTAAACCATTAGGATCATTTATATTGTGATATCAACCCATTAAAAAAAGGCAAAACATATTACAAAACCATCAGGAGCCAACAAACACTTTTTTTCATGGGTTTTTTTCATTAGGGAAAGTATGATTTTACTTTCTGTGTAAACACCTTCATATGGAGTTTGACTTTCTTCTTTCTTTTTCTTTTATTTATTTATTTATTAATTAACTGAAGCACCTGTTGGACAAAATCATACTGAACAACAGTAAAGACAAAGACGGGGCAGTTTAAAGGGCTCATATCCCAATTATTTCTACTTAGTTCTACTCATATTTGTGTAGTATCGTTCCCAGATACGCCGTAATTCATTTTTCATTCCCTTAGAATTAAACAGGCTGTTTTTGTCACTGTGCCTTTAAGACTGATATGTGTAAATTATCTCTGTTCTGATTGATTTTCCTATATTGGGTCACATTAAAAAAGCAGTCTGGTCTAAAACACTCCTTATAACTCTAAAATGACAGTTTAGGATTAAACTGCTGTAGGCTGAATAGATGGATATATGTAAAGGTGCTGGTTTTTGTGACATCACAAAAACACCATCAAAAATGGGCTGTTTTTGCTCCATAGTTTCTACATATGGGCTCTATTGAGAGGGGAGTGAATGTGATGTTTTGAAACTTTAATGATGTTTAGAGAGAAGTTCATTCTATGATACAGACTCTTTAAGTCAGTGGTCACCAACCCTGGTCCTGGAGATCTACCTTCCTGCAGAGTCTGGTTCCAACCAAAATCTGCCACACCTGCTCCAGCTAATCAACCTCTTCCCATGTCCCTGATTGGGTAGATCAAGATGCATTAGTGTTGAATAAGAGGACGGGGTTGAAACTAAACTCTGCAGGAAGGTAGATCTCCAGGAAGAGGGTTGGTAACCTCTGCTTTAAGTTCCTCCAAACTCTCCAGCTCACTTTTTCTTTAATTCTAATATTTTCCCCACCACTGAGTAATTCCAGGGAGCAGAGACCACTCAGTGACCCTCTGAGATGAGAGAACTTAGTAGGAAATCGTCCTGTGGTAAACAGAAAAGCCCAAAACCTCCATGACGTATTTAACATGTTTGTATTTCAGTCAACCAGATGAAAGACATAAATAAACACAGATTTTTTTTTTATTATTTACTAAGTTTTTCAAACTTGTCTATTATTTACAAGTACTTTTTCACAATAGTCATAACAGAATAAACAGTCACTATGAAAAGAATCCAAACAAGTAGTATTTTTGATCTTCTTTCTGAAAGCATTAGAACAATGCTGCTCAAAAAAACTTACAACAAACCAGTACTGAAAACGAGCCTTTAAACTGGCAACATAGGATGAATGTACAGTATCACTTTATATCATCTCCAATACCAGAGAATTACTATAACTATTACATTCATACTGTGCAGTTGTGTAGTTACAGTGTTGTACTGGATAAAGTACTTTGGCCTGACAGGGTATCAGGAGTCTTGTTCATGTGACAACACAGAAACTTCTCTGGAGTAAGAAAATCAATATAATAATAAATGGGAGACATCAAAACTCAGTTAAATTGTAGATTGGAAAGTGTTTGGAAAATGAACCTATACTTTGTTGGCACATTCTTTCATTGTAGGTCACTTCAGGGCAGGTCAGTCATTGTACAAATTCTTCCTGAACTTTGCACTTTGCTATTGCAGCCAAATAAACTGACAGGTCAAACTGAATCCAGTTGGCAAATATAAACCGTTGCAGCAAAAATAACCATTTTCTCTAAGTAAAAAAGCAATAAAATCTATAGTTTTGGATGAGGCAACTTCATACACGTTCACATCTACAATCTGTCCAATAGATGGAGACTGAGAGCTTTCTTTGGTTCTCTAAGCCAAAAAGGTCATATAGCCCTCCTGTTTTTCTTAAACAGGCTAAGCTGGGATAATGGATAACTACTGAAGAGACGTTCTGGGCTTCTGGCAGTGAGAAGAATTGAGCAATGAGAACTTTTTGAACTAAGGACGATATCAAGATCCTCCACTAAAGAGCAAAGAGCTGTTTAAAATAACAAATCATTTACTGGTCAAACTGAACACGGAGGATCTGAACTACAGCAGAGCAGTGAGGGTTCAGGCTACGTATCAAAATGTATGATTTTTATCACCAAATCACTTCAGTACTACTGAGTATTGAAAAAGTCCAATTACCAAATTTCAGTCTCTTAGCCTCTGTGGGCCAATAAATAAGCTTGTTCCTAAATCTAGACTGCTGATTGGCTATCGGTTACATTCGGTACATTTGTTATTAACGGCCAGTAAACTTTTAGTTTGTACTGTAAAAGAAGTATGAAAAAAAGCATAATTCAGAAATCTGAGGCATCTGTATTAGTATCAATTTGAACAATGCCCAGCCTGAATAAGGGTTTAAGCCACTTCATCCCTTCTAACAGTTTCAGTTTAAGGCAAATGGTTGTGGTTTAAAAGATCACAATGCACATTTATGCATTGAAAATGAAAGCAAGACCATAAAAATTACATGTGGGATTGTAAAAATCCATTAAAATTTGGCATTCTATGAATAGAAAAGCAGGTTTGCTATGGAGGTTAAACCAACACATTCAGTGGCACAAATACACAACATTCTCTCCCAGAAAATAATAATTCAAGTCTCAGCATCATTTAGGTATCAAAGGATTCTCATGTGAACTGCTGAGCTACAGACCTCTGACTTGACTGTGTTTTCATGTAAGGCTTTAAAAGTGGAGAGTCCTGTTGGTGGGAGATGCAGTTGAACAGCAGCAAACGACAGATTAAGGCACCAGAGAAATAAGACAGATGAGCCATTGAGAAGAACAGAAAGTAATGACGGAGCTCTTTGGCTTGTAAAGATTGTTTTAAGCAGTCTTTTTCACCACGTGGATGAAGTAACAAGGAGCCCCTCCCTGGCCAGGCTTATACTGCTTGAAATCACCAAACACGCTCTGCTCACATTTTCCAAAGAAGGCCTCCTTCAGGAGCTCCTTAAAGCTCTCCAGCCGGTGAGGGTAATACGACAAGCGGAATTTACTACGAAACAGACAGAAAATTAGAAGATAGTAAGTTAAAACATGTAAACCGGACATAATGCAAAACTACAGATCCCATACAAAACAGCAACTCTGAGAAGTTACTGGCAATAAGAACATGATGTGTCTTCATATGAATGACGCAGTGCATATAGCAGTAATACTTTCTTTGGAGTGGTTCTTTGTAGATGATTAATAAACTTTTAAAACTTATTTTATAAAAAATAAACAGATTATCAGTAAAACATCAACAGCATCTCAGTGTAGTAGCAGTAGTGAAGTGTCTGAGTACACTGAAGTAAATATCTTGTAGATGCTCTGTTGATACATCACTTACATTAAGTAGGTGTATTGTTAATATGTTACTTCCAGTGCGCAAAACCTTACCAATCGTACACAAAACCTTACCCTAACCCTGGCCCTAATCCTAACCCTAACCTCAACCCAAAACCTTACCCTCACCCTGGCCCTAACCCTAACCCTAACCTCAACCCAAAACCTTACCCTAACCCTGGCCCTAATCCTAACCCTAACCTCAACCCAAAACCTAACCCTCACCCTGGCCCTCATCCTAACCCTAACCCTAACCTCAACCCAAAACCTAACCCTCACCCTGGCCCTCATCCTAACCCTAACCCTAACCTCAACCCAAAACCTAATCCTAACCCTCATGTCGCTGCTGTCGGAACAAAACCTCGTATCTCCATTTTTCAGTTTTTGACATAATTTGAAAGTGCCTGTTACTCTTTACATTGTGTGTAAATTTCATGAAGAATGGACCAAAGAAACGACCCAAAATGACTTGGGGAAAATGTCTGGTTTCATTGACTCACATTAAAAGGAAAGTATGTTTTCTCCTGTTAGTCTTTCTCCTGTAAAGTTACCATTTTGGAAATACGAAGTTTTCTTCCGACAACAGCGATATGTTTTTAACATGTTACTGAGAGTCTGTTGAGTGTTTGTTTCATCTAAAACATACATAGCTGTATGAAACAAGCAGAAATTCTGTCAGAAGTGTGGATTTTTCATTCAGTTTCTAGCATATTTGTGTTTCTGAGTAAAAGAAGTAATTATATTATGATTAAAATTTGTTCTGTATAGGTGTTTATGTGAATATTTTGCTATGCTTTTGTCACTGACATCAAAACATATGGAAATAATTCAAAAGTACAAGCTAAAACCTGTCGATATAGAAAGCAAAGTAAATGTAAAGGTAATTTATTCATGTAATTAACTATTTAATGGTGTAATTACATTGAAATAGCTCAACAATAATAATTCTAGGCATCTAAGGTTCAATGATCAGCATGAAAATCTGCATGCTGACAATCTACAACTTTTGATAGAACCATTACTGTAATATACTGATGAAGAAAGACAACACATAGTAGCAAAGCTGACCGTACCTGGTCAAGCTTTTACTGCTCATGCCATTAATATTATAATTTGACCAACTATCCTTAGCATTTCCTTTAAACTCCTCTCTCCAGAATCATTCCTAAGCCTCCATGTCTCTGGCGTAGCCTACAGTACCTTGTCTCGGGTGGCATCTGTGCTCCCTCTGGTTGGGGGATCTCCAGTGAGTAGTCCAGTGTGACCATGTGGGGCTTGTTGTTGACCCAAAGCACTGATGTGGAGATGTCCTGTTTCAAGTCGCTCTGGAATACAAATACCAGCCAGATGTGAAAAGCATGGACTTTCGTTCAAATCACTTATAGTGGATCTACATGCACAAGGCAACGTACTAGATATTATTTTCCGCTTTTATGAAGGTGCTAGACAGCTGGATTTCCTTGAAATGTAAAAGAGGGTTCTTCAAGGGTCTTTAGTAAAGATAAATGGATTAAGATAGAACCATGAACACTTAAAGACCCCTTTGCATGCCTAAAGGGTTCTTTGCATGATGAAATGGTTCTTCAGATTGATGGACAATGTGTTGTACATGGTTGTATATAGAACTTTCTTGAAGAGGGTTCTACATAGCACCAAAAAGCATTCTGCTACTGCTTCAAGCTTGACATTGTAACAACAGAAGAACCTTTTTTGAAGAATCTCCAAGACCCCTTTGCATGCCTAAAGGGTTCTTAGCATGGTGAAAGGGTTCTTTAGATTGATAGAGAATGTCTTGTATATGGTTCTATACAGAACCTTTTTGAAAATGCTTCAGTGTAGCACAAAAAAGTGTTCTTCTGTTCTTACAATGTCAAGCTTGTAACAGTAGCAGAATGCTTTTTGGTGCTATATAGAACCCTTTTCAAGAAGGTTCTATATACGACCATGTACAACACATTCTCCATCAATCTGAAGAACCATTTCACCATGCAAAGAACCCTGTAGACATGCAAAGGGGCCTTTGAGTATTCATGGTTCTAAATACAACCATTTGTCTTTACTAAAGAACCCGTGAAGAACCATCTTTTTTAAGTGTGTAACTATAGAAGAACCTTTCATGTGCTATGATGAACTATTAGGCTGAGGCTATTGTAGATTTCACCATACACAATTCATGCAGCTGTTTACTGAACTGTATTGGCGTCTTGTGTTACCAGGCATTACCAGTCAGGCTGACTAGGATTTCATCAGGACTGTCTTTTTGTCATGGACTTTAATCTTAGACTTGCATGAGCACTTCATTATTGACATAAATGATGGGAATAATCATTATCTACATGCACTTATGTCACTCGTATCATTATGTGCAATGTTATCTTCAGATTAGGAATCCACTTAGTCTGTTAGTTTAGGCTATAGTGGTCACCAACCCTCCTCCTGGAGAGTTTCGTTCCAACCTGCATCTAACATGCTTACATAACAATAAAGCACCTGATCCAGCCAATCAAGGACTCCTGAAGAAAAAAGAATTAGAATTAGACTCCACAGGAAGGCAGATCTCTGAGATAAAGGCTGGTGACCACTGGTTTAGGCTAAATAAGGAAAACCAGATCATAAAGCTAGGAGAGCAGACAGACCGAGATGCATTAATTAAAGGTGTTTACTTGGCTTTTCCATGTCTTTAGTGCAAATGCAAGACGGTTTGTTGATCATATGGTTCTATATTCTTTTGCCCATAGACTCTTAAATAATAAATCTTCGTAAATGGTTCTTGGCTTGCACATTATGTAAAGAATTTTTTCATACTCACATCTCAAAAATCTTTTTTTTTTTTTTAGTAGCATCGATTGAAAGGTTCTTTAGGGAAGCAAAAATTTTATTGCATCATGCAAACCACCCTTTGTGGCACCTTTATTTTTAAGCACATAGACAAAATAAGAACTGAAAGAGTACCGAATTGTTTTCCACATTGCAGTATTAAAAATGTGTTTATCTTTTAATACATTCTGCAGCTCTAATTAGCAGCGAAACCTCGGTTTCAGTTGTGTTTATTGCTTTTAACACAAACCCGTGTGTGAAGTTCACCTTCCAGTTGTTGTGACCTACTGTTTCTCTCTTGCATGTGTACTAAACACCATGAAAAGCCAAGTACACACCTTTAAATAATAGATTCCAGTCTGTCTGGCCTCTTGGTTTTATGTAGCAACCTTCCTGACTTCAGCCTGAGCTAGTAGACATTTTGACCTCATAAGTCAGAACATAAACTGGGGTTTGTCTGCTGTTTTTCCTCTTTCTGAGGCTTTGCTTCTGTTGTCTATTTTGCTGGGCTGCTTTCACTAGGATGTTCTGGTACAGTTTGGTTGTAGTGTTATTATTTACAGCAGAATATTAATAGGTCTGTTGTGTTATTAGTCATCAAAATGTCTTCTAGTTCCTGCATGAATAGAACCTGTTTAAACCTGTCTTCAGATGGGCGAGTGCACAGACAGACAGGAAACAATTTGAGGTTAGGTGTGTCGCACTAAAGTGAAGAAAAGCACTATTTGTCTCAAAGCTGATAGGAAATGACGAAGCTGATAAAGGGTAATGTTTGGAAGCTTAAAAACAGGGTAGTAGTACCTGCCTGGGGAACAACATTCAACATGTTCTGTATGCTCACCAGATTTTGGCCCTTCTTCATCAAATTCAGTCAAATCTGATCGTAAAATGAGCGCAAACAAATTACACTGACCGTTTAGTCATTCATCATTCATCTTTGGCATCTCTCCAAGATCAAACTCATATCTGGTAGGAGTGTGTGTAATAGCTGAACAACCTGACGAAATTGCTGGATTTGCGGTTCACCAACCAAAACTGTCTTCTATAATACTAGTAATAAGAGTAAAAATAGAAAATAACAATCATACTAATAATTTCTGCAAATGGCAATCCAGTTAGTGGATGTACTTATTTTATATGAACATAAAACTTACATGCTGCAACTATTTCATATTCCAAGTTCAGCAGGTAGAGCAGTGCACTCACTGCTCAACCTCAAACTCCACCCACGAGCACAGTCACTGGGTCATGAGCCACTGAATGCATGCTTAATTTAAATGTTATGCAAGGTACTGGTAAGCTGGCACTTGTTTTCACGCACTGAGGCTGATCCATCATTTGCGTATGTTTCGACGTTGTGCGAAAGTTTCATAAATAAAGGGGTAGAGCAGTCCATCTTAAGCCACAGGCCAAATCTGTGCTATTTTTTTATGCAACTTTGATGAATAATACATACAAAGTATTATTCATCAAAAAATCTTTGTTTACATACAAAGATTTTTGCCAGTCCGATTGAATACATTCTGATTATGGATTAAGAGTGAGGTGTTTATATGCACTTTACTAAACAATCTGATGAAAAATCTGCACACTACAAGTAATCATATTCAAAGTTGCGTGCATGTGTACAGAACCACTTAGTGTAAATGTTACCATGACAACGAGCATCACGCGACTCCAGCCAGAGTGAGACGAGCAGCAGTGAGTTACTGAGTTTTCAGCTGGCATGTTTGTGTTTTTCATTACATTCAATTACTTCACATGTACTTATTAAAGAAGGCGAGAGGAAGACATCATGACCTGAGACACATAAGCTGGACATCCGCCCCACCGCCGTCTTTTAAAGATCAAAGCATAAACTTTGTCTCCTCTGCAGACCAGTTTCTGCCCAGCCATGTTGAACGTTATAAACTTTCACTATGACGTGACGCACATGATCAGAACATACTTCCACTTTCCAATTGGGAATGTAATCAGATACAGGCGTTCATATGGTTATTATTCTTCTATTTAACGGATTATTTACAGGATTACTCACCTCGTTCAATCGGACAGAAACTGTATTCTGAAAGGCATTATTCGGACTAGACTATTCCGACTGAGGAGTTTACATGGACGTATTCTATTCCAGTTGAGCTATTAGTCGGATTATTAACGGATTATCAGGCTGCACGTAAACATGGCTAGTGTGTGCAGGTTTTAGCCAATACGTTGAGTGATGGGGTTTGATGTTAAAAAGCATACCTGGTAATAAATGTTCTTCCCTTGTGGAGCTAGGCCGGTCTCGAGGATGTAGTCATAGTTACGGTGATCAATGATGAGGATTCCTCCAGGTTTCACCATGCTGGCGATGTTGTGCAGAGCCAGCTTCTGATCACTCTGGTCCCCTACGAGAGGATCAATCAGTAAATCAGTGCATCCAGAACTGAAGCATTCATAAGCTTCATATTCTTACCTTTGAAATCTGGTAGATGAGCAAAAGAGTTCCCCAGGCAGATAACAGCATCAAACCCATCTCCCGGCTTCTGAACATCATCCGCTAGCGTAAGCCAGTTAGCCTCTTCGATTACTGTGAGGACGATGGTACAACCACAGAGTGACAGTCAGTTACACTGTTATGTGCCAGTGATGTCACAGATTCCTCAAAACTCTTAAATAAGAAGCTCCTCCTTACCCCACTGGTCAAAAGCTGGCTCTTTCCTCCTTTCCCATCTCTCCTTGAGAGCGTACTTCAGCATCTTATCACTGGCGTCCACACTGACCATCCTGAATTCCTCCTCCACCAGCATGATGGAATCCACCCTGCAAAAAGCAGAGTGTTAACTACAGTGTCGTCCACCAAGACTCCAGATTACTGTGACTATTAACCAAGTAATCGTGAATTTTCTCCCCAGTTTTAGTCATGGCTAGCTACAGAGTCCAGCTACACTTTTAAAAAGATGGTTCTTTAGAATAGGGAATGGTTCTGTTTAGAACCATGAGCTCCATATAGAACCGTTTCATGCTTAAATTGTTCTTTGCACGGTGAAAAGATTGCTCACTTCACTGATTGCTCATTTCACTGATGGAGAACGTGTTGTACATGGTGCTCTACAGAACCTTTTTGAAAATTGTTCTACATAGCACAAGAAAGGGTTCTTCTATTGTCACACACTTAAAAAATGAGGGTTCTTCAGTAAAGAAAATGGTTCTATGTAGAACCATGAACACTCAAAGAGGCCTTTGCATGATTAAAGGGTTCTCTGCATCGTGAAAGTGTTCTTCAGATTGATGGAGAAACCCAAAAAGGGTTCTTCTACTGCTACAGGCTTGACATCATAATATTCGAAGAACCCTTTTTTGATGCTATATAGAACAGTTTTCAAAAATGTTCTATATAGAGAATGTGCTATAAATGGTTCTATCTATCTGTCTTTTTAAGAGCGTACAATGTCAAGCTTGTAACAACAGAAGAACCCTTTTTGGTGCTGTATAGAACCATATACAACACGTTGTCCATTAACCTAAGGAATATTTCACCATGCCAAGAACCATTTAAGCATGAAATGGTTCCATATAGAACTCTCTTTTCTTTATAACCCTTGAGGAACCATCTTTTTTAAGAGTGATCTCCCTCATCACTGTATTTCATTGGACAGCTAATGCTTGGAGCAAAATGCTAACTGCTGATTCTGTTACATCAGTTGACAGACACCCGTGCTGACTACCGTTGCGCTGAGTAATGGGGAGACCAATTATGATCTACTGAAACAAGTTTAATCAGGTAAGGACAGACCGAATGTCCACACGCTGGTGTTGGTCAAGTCATGGGCAACAAGTTTACAGTCTTAATCATGACAACATGGCTAGTGAGAGCAGTCTGCACCCACTTCCTCTAGTACAGTGATCAAAAGTAGTATTGGGACACTCCCTAAATACAGTTTACAGTCATATGCAAAAGTCAGATTTTCGGGATTTGATCCTGTGCAGAGATCACACTTAAATATGGCATTTTTCTGCATTTGTTGTATTTGTTGAGGTTAAGCTATTTAGAAACATAAAATATAAAATGTGCCATAACCTTTGCACAGGCAAGAAATTTGTTTTGTGTTTTTTCGTTAAAAAATGTTAAATTCAGCAAAAAAAAACAGTAATTGTGCATTAAAATATGCAGAAGTGTGTAGGATGTTATTTATTTTCATGTAGAAAACAAAACATGTTGTTTGACCAGGGGCACACAAACTTTTGCATACAACTGTATGCCTTGTTTATGTTATATATCATTTCATGTCCATCTAAAAGGTTGCAACAACCAGCAATAATGATCAGTGAAGGGTTTTGTTGCAAAACACGTTATAGACCACTTCAGGAATTTTCTTCTTTTTTGATATACGTTGTTGAGAGTGGGTTTTACACATTCAACAAAATATTAATGTCATATTATGAGTAAAATCACCTAATATCAACTATTAGACTCATCTTCCATTGTATGTCAGTTGTTATACTTTCTGAAAACTCATGGATACAACATTTTTGAAAGAAACCCTTCAAATGATGCAAGTAGTTAATAACATAAATAAAGCAAGTAAACATATTCAGACATTATTGGGACAAACATTAGTAAATCTTCATGTAGGTTAGTCATTACTATTTTATTTTGGTTAGTATTTTGCTGCATGTCCCTCCATTTGCAGGACAGATTGACATCTTCTAGGCATGGAGGGCTTGAGTGATGTTCACCCAGGCCTGTAGAATCTTCTCTTCTGGATGGCCAGAGCTTGGCAGGTTTGCAACACCTCTTGTCTCTCTCCAGCTGCAGTATAGTTGCATCATCTTCTCAGACATTTTGTTATCAATATTCTTAACAGATTAATTCAACTCAATATTTACAAGCAATATCTTTCAGAATGTTAATGAAATTTTGAGTAGGTGGATTTCCAGGAGTAGCTCTGGTTTGGTGATCTCTGATTTGAACATGTGTATTTGGATTAGTGTCCCATCTTGTTTTATTAAGTAAATCAAGTCAAAGTCAAAGTTCATTCGTAAAAGTGCTTTTTACAACAGGTGTTGTCACAAAGCAAATTTACAGAAAAATCCAGGTCCGAGCCCCCATGAGCGTCGCCAATGGCGACAGTGGCTAGGAAAAACTCCCTAAGAGCAAGAAGAAGAAACCTTGAGAGGAACCAAGACTTAAAAGGGGAGCCCATCCTCCTCTGGTCGACACCGGATAGCAAACAGCGTTAGTATTAATGGGGAGTTAGGTGAGTTTTCTAGTCAGCTTTTGTGCAGTTGGACTCAATATTGTTATAACTTGGCTAAAATAACATACTGTTGAATATGGTGAAGGAAAATGTAATAATAATACATTAATAAATTGAATAATTCTAAGAAACAACTGATGATAGTGGTGTCCCATGACTACTTTTGAGCACTGTACATGAAGATGGTCACTGTGTTTTTTCACTCCTAAGCACTTGCAGGGCTACCACATCACTTTAAGGATTTCTGTCTGACTTGAGTTCAAGCTGCACAGCCCCCTCTGCTCTGAGGGAATAGGGCCTGTTAACATTCCTGAAAGATTCCTGACCACAGACAACATGCCCATTTGGACACTAAATTCTAGAAATTCTAGAACAATACTGATAGCCGAGATGTCCGTGATCATTACATGTTACTTTCAACTTGTAAACTATTTTCACCTTGTAACTTTCATCATAAATAGGGATATGTAACATAATGTAATAACATAAATAAGGATATTTAAAAATGCAATGTAATAACATAAATAGGGCGAATAATTGAAAGTTCTGTTTTACTAAAGGAAAGAAAAACTGCTCTGTGCACAACTTAATCATCCTCTGAATATTCAACCTGTGGCTATAAGTTTAAGTAATAATTGACTGATACTGATATATAGAGTCATTAATCAGCGCACTGACTCAAAACAATTCAACTATAAACCCTTTTATTTTATTTATAACTATAAACCCTTAAACTTGGTGAACACTGATGGTGTTGAGATGAGTCTGTCATATGGAAAAAATACTTAATCTGCAATAACATTGCGACATATTGCTATTGACTATACAGGCCACACAGCCAACTCACACTGCCAATAAGAGCTCAAGACTGGTTCTATTGTTTATTGTTGTTTAATTTTAGGATCCCCATTAGCTGCTATCACGATAGCCACTATTCTTCCTGGGGTCCAATAGACATACTATACATTACAAAATAGTGCAATAACACTATTTTTAAGGGGAACTCACTATTGCAATAACTATTTTTAAGGGGGACTCACTATTGCAATAACTATTTTTAAGGGGGACTCACTATTGCAATAACACTATTTTAAAGGGGAATTCCACCAATCTTTCAAAATTCATGCATAATTACATTGTTAGAATAACAAAGTCACTCAGAATGCTTTGATGTGAAATGCTCCACTAAAGAAACTTGAGTCAGAGTTCACAGTGGTGGTGATAGGAACCAGATGTCTGAAGCATTTCACGCCTCTAAAAGCTTTGCCACAGAAAGTTATTACTACTATTTTACCAATACCAACATTACATATAAACACTCAGAAGACACATGTAGGTTCATTGGTCATTTTGGATAGTAAATAAAGGTTTGTAGACATCACATGCCCTGATTTCTATCGCCACTGCTGTAAAAAACACAAGTTGGTAAGTTTCTCTACAATAAAGCATTTCATATTAAACCCCTCTGAATGACTCTGTTTACACCTTAATGGTTGAACGATGTACAAAATTTGAAAAACAGGTGGAATTCCCCTTTAAGTAGTAGTAGCATCAACATGAAAAGTGATCATGTTTGCAGAATGTGCTGAAGAGGCATTCTGTGAGCCAGCACTGCCTCAGGAGCAGCTGCTGCATGTGAGTGAACAGAAGCAGCGGAGGCTATTCTTAGTTCAGGTTAGTGGGTCAGTGTTACACTGGCAGTGAGTGGAGAGTTTAGTGGGTTAGAGTGAAAGAAAGACTTTAAAGAACCTGTAAAACTGCAGCAGCACTAAAAGACAACATTCCTCACGGCATCATCTTCAGCTGGAGTTGTGAGCTGAAGTTATGAGCTTGAAACTCCTCTTTCAGCCCCTCCAGACATGTTAATAATGCAGGGCATGTAAGCTAGTTCAGTTTTGCATGCGAACTTCACAACGCAAAAACTTTTTTTTTTATAAATTTAAACATAGCATACATGCAATTTGAGTAATTATTTGTTCTAGCTATAAACTTGGTGTATAACTGCGTTGCAGTGCCTTTCTTTTTATTGCTGTTAGCTATGTAGCCTTTAGCATGCTAACTAGCTAGCTAGAGTAAAGTGATGAGGCTGAATCAGCTGTCATGTATAACAGATGGAGTATTTTGCAACGCCTAGCAAACAGAATGTTATGGTTTTGAAATGTTAAGAATGTTAATGTAGTTTTGCTACACTGCTATATCAGGGGTGGGCAAACCAAATGTTATGAAGAGCCATTTTGTCCTTTCAACAAAAATCAAACCACCTTGGGAGCCACAACATTGTATGTCCATTTTACCATATTGACTGTACATAAAAGTGTAAGCTAAAAAATATGATAGAAATGAAAACACAGACTTACTTTGCTCTGCTTTAAGCTTTAGTTCAGCGATAGCCGCTTTTCTCGCATCTCCGGCAGGAAACTTTTCCTCAAAAGTGAAACGGTTTCTTATAAAATGTTTCTCACTGTTTGATTTTTTATGATTTTCCATAAATGGTGCCTGAAGTGCCAGAATGTAACTGCTGCACCATTTAAGGTGGAACAGAAAAATTCTAACAAGAAGCTGGCGAATGAGAAACTGACTTCAGCTTTGCGACTTTTTAGTGTTTGACAGTTTCTTGTTGCAGATTAAACGTATCAGGAAACCAGCTGGAGTGATTATAAATGCAAATAAGTCAATTTGTCTCTGATTTATCCATGTTCTTCTTAAATCTCCCTCTTTGCCGTGTCGTTAGCTGCTAGCTAGGTGAGATAGCTGTCTGTGTTTGACCAGCAGTCTGCGCACCAATCTTCAGGGTGAATTAGCAGTTATACATTAACTCCAGCGTTTAAGACCATTTACTGTTAAAACATACAGAGCTCAGCAGAGCTTTATTTTACTGCAAAGGAGGAATATTTTATTTTTACCTAAGAATCTAATTCTGCTGTGGAGCCACAACAGAGCAGTAAAAGAGCTGCATGTTACCAATCCTGTGCTTTGGCTTATAAATAGCTTTGTTTATCATTATTTTAACTGGGTTTGAAAAGGAAAATTTGTTAGATCGAAATGATTTCTATGCAAATTTTGCAGCTGAAGCCAACACTTGTGGTCACTTGATCCCTCACCTCTCCAAGGGTTCATCTAATGAACCTCACTTGAGCTAATAAAGTAATGGAACGGCCCTTAAAATGGTGTTGGGGATTCCCCTGAGGAGGGATGGCAAGGCCAAGTGGACGAGGTATTGTTAAAACCAGCACTGAAATGGGCAGCAAGCATAAAAAATAACCCAAAATTGGCCATTTTATGTTTAGAGCAGTAGACATAGTCCGGCTGATACTCACCTTTCAATCAAGCTCAGATGTAATTCAATTAAAGGGACATTAGAATCCAAAACAATGATCAAATTCTCAAAATAAAGCTGCAGTTTGTTGTAATAAAATTGTTTATGTAATAAAACCAAACATGGTGTGACATTCATATAGAAACATTTCACAACCCTCATCTTGTCAAATGAGTGTCAACAAATGACATGCAGCCCTTACCTAAAACCAAGATGGTTATTTGATCCTGTCAAAGCATCTCCACTTTTGTGTTTTGTGTAAAGTTTCCTTCAGCACTTGAATAGGACGTTTTTACTTAGTTTGTTTTCCTAGTCATATTAGGCGCGAGTCATCATATTGTATTATTTAAAAGACCAAATTCTTGATTTTTTTCATAATCTTCCTCTGAAATGTCTTCTGAGGAAAAATCATATTAACCAATAATATCATGTTTCATCTCCCTGGGCCCTCCCAGCATCCCCAGCCTATTATCCAGTGAAGACGCTAAGCTAGCTCAGAGACCCGCACTGACACAGAGTTTTACTTGGAAATATGTCACAGTATGCAAAGAAAATGCGTTATGATTTTCAATTTGCATTGATTTTGACAAATTCCATACAACATGTTGACTCCTTACATTTACGACCTACAATGTGATCATTTTACACAGATAGGCGAAGGTAGTGTTAGGAGTCTTGCCCAAGGACTCTTATTGGTATAGTGTAGGGTGCTTGCCCAGGCAGGCAGGCCTTACCAAGCCATGGGACTGCTGAAGTTTTATTACACACTTCTATAATCTAAGAAAAGCTCCAATAGTTTGCATTGAAGTCCCTGTAGTCAAAGAGTAATAAGCTTTAGTATGTAGTAAGCCTGGAATGTTACGGGGTTAAGGTATATTTTAGAAGACTAGGCTTCTGCAGCAGGGGAACTGAACTATCTGCTATTTAGCTCAAAGTCTGACCCAAACAAGACCTATTCTGATGGAATTATGGAGAGTGTAAGCAAACCTCTGAACCCAAATTGTTTGGCTTTGGCTGAGTTTTGAGCCCCAGTTATTTGACATGGAATGACCTGAGCATGTTATGGGAGTGCCCTGCTTTCAGCCGTCAAATCCAGTGATATATGACTAACATAGCTTCCTCCACCCTCTGCTTCTGAAAGATTGTGGCTCGCTAACACTAAAGAACTCTTTTAGTTCCACAATAACAGTAATGGAGCTATTTTATAAACCATTTTTAACCCTGATGTTAGGGTTAATGGACACTCATTAACCTGATAATTGTTGTTGGCCACTGTAATAGCCAGAATGCTTAATACCCAACAGCTCACAAAGAGCCAGAACAATAAGACTGAAAGCCTGAGTGAGCAATTTTATAGCTAAATGAGTGCATAATTCTTCTAATTCCCTCTCGCACATATAGAGCTAAAATAAATCAAACTAAAGTTCATTCAGAGTTATGAGAGTAATGCCTACATCTTTCTCAGGCTGTCAAAATGCTAATTTTGGTTTCTTTGATGAAACAATGCTGCTACAAGGCAGCCAGAAGGCCATCAAATATGTCTGTAATTCCACTAAGGATTCAAATAAATAACTGTGTCACTTGTAAAAAGAGTTATGTTAACACTTCTATGGTTGGACTCAGGACTAGGCTTAATCCCTTTCTGGGAACCTGGCCCTTAGAGCTTAAGGTAGGCCTGAAGGTCTATTATAGTAAACTGATGATGCAATACCTTCAGAGCATTTCTAGTCTGAGTGAATTATGCAAAACTGTACATAAGGCAATAATCTACCCAGTGACTCAATATTACAAAATTACAGTATTACGGAGAGACTGAGGCACTGCACAGAACAAACAGCCTTTAACTGGCACTGTCAGTAAACCATTCACTCTGGCAGATTTCAATTGTCTCAAATGTACTGGTTAAGCCTGGCTCAGTCTACATGTCACAGAGGTCTGAATCACACAAAAACATGACACTCGCTAAGGCAGAATCATTTGTCCACTTTTACTGTTTCGCTAACCACGGCGTCAGCTTTCAGCACAGTCTGTGGCAAGTAGATCGCTCTTTTCCAGTCTCGCTTCTGGAGTAAAGTTACACCTGCACTGCACAGTTTACTGTTTCTCCTGCTCTTTTCTGCTCTGACTGACCTCAGTCAACCCATAAGCTCATTAAAAAGCCCTTCACAAAGATGAAATGTAGGTTTAGAGCAGGGTAAACACTAAAATGAGATTATAGAGTAGGTAAATATTAAAATAGGAGTGTTTGAGCATATAAACAATACAATACTGTTAAAGGGCCCATCTCCTCCATTTTTCTTCTATTTCATTTTTATTGCTGAGGTTCACTTATGATGTTTGTATAGGTTTATGTACCAAAAACAATGCTCTCTTTTCCCTTTCAAATTAAACAGGCTGTTTTTGTTGCTTTCAAGACTGATGTATGTAAATGAGCTGTGTTTTGACTGGCTAACCTGTATTGTTCCCCATTCGAAAAGCAGTCTGGGCTGAAACACTTCTTATAACTTCAGTGTGAATAGGCAGGGCTAAATTGCTGTAGCTGAATAGGATTAATAGATTTGTGTGTTGGTTTTCGTGACATCAAAAGAACAATACATTCAAACAGGCTGTTTTTGCAGCTTAGCTTCTCTATATGGACCGTTTGGACTGGGTAGTGAATGGTTTTGAAATAATAACAATGTTTACATACTACATCAAACTCTTATTTCAAAAAGCAAAGAAATTAAACGCTTTAAATCAAATAAACCCTAAATTAGCAGGTAACCCTCACAGAAAAGTCACATATACACATGTGAAGTAATCACACTTTTTTCACATGTGAAGTTTTCACGTGATCACGTATTTGATGGCACATCTGATAATGCATTTTAACATGTGAAGTGTCCAAAAACCACATATCTTTTATACATATGTGAAATTCATGTGACTTTTCTGTTAAAGAAACACTAGAATAATAGTGTTAAGTCAAACAAACACTAAAATAAGAGCATTATAGCAGTTGAGCACTAAAATCTGAGCCTTACAGCAGGTAAACACTAAAAAATATTGTTAAACAAACACTAAAATATGAGTAAAAAAATATGAGTTTAAGAATTAAAGCAGGTAAATGCTAAAAAAATAGCGTTAAAGAAACACTAAAAATTGAGTGAAGTATTAACGCAGATGAACGCTAAAATAAGAGAAATAGACTTAAAAACAAACACTAAAACAATAGGGTTAAACAAACACTAAAATATGAGTATTTAAGAATTAAAGCAGGTAAATGCTAAAAAATTGGCGTTAAAGAAACTCTAAAAATTGAGTAAAGTATTAACGCAGATGAACACTAAAATAAGAGAAACAGATTTAAAAACAAACACTAAAATATGAGTATTAAAGTATTATAGCAGGTAAACACTAAAATAATGGTGTTAAACACTAAAATATGAGTATTAAAGCAGGTAAACACTAAAATAATAGTGTTAAACAAACATTTAAAGATGAGTATTAAAGCAGGTAAACTCTAAAATAGTGTTAAACAAACACTAAAATATGAGTGTTAAAGTATTAAAACACTACACTGTGTCAGAGCAGATAAATACTAAAATAACTGTTAAATCAAATGAACACTGCAGTGTGTATGAGAGCAGATCATACTAAAATAACAGTGTTAACTAAACACTAAAATAGCGACTTAAAGCAAGTTAACACAAAATTAAGAGGGCTGAATAAAAACACACTGAAACAGAGCATGAGAGCAGATGAAGACTGAAGCAGGTGTGTTAAGGCAGGTAAGCAGTGGTCTGTGCAGTGCAGTGCAGTGCAGAGGTGGGGGGCAGTGAAGCTCCTGCTGAGGAGAGAGGAATGGGGCCCTACCCTGTGCCGCAGGCCACATCCAGCACTCTGACACAGCTGTGCTGTCTGAGCAGAGAGACCAGCCAGCTCCGGTACTCCTCCGTCCTCCTCCTGGTGTTTCCGATATAAAGCTGCCACACTTTAGCCGCTTTGCCGTCCGCGTACTGGTCCGGCAGGCCCACCGCGGCCACGCCGAGCGAGCGGGTCCGATACACACTGTCCACCATGCTCAGTCAGAGGCGCGCGTGTATGTGTAAGTGTGTGTATGTACTTGTGTCCTGCGGTGTCCAGGCTTGTCCACTCCTCGCTCCTCGGCCCTGCTTGTTATCCTCCGGCTCGTCCACGCGGCTCGCTGAGCTGTTATTTATGGCGCAGCGATAAGGACCCAGGAACTTTCAGCCAATCAAATACCAGAGTTCCCTCACGCCTGCGTTTTGATTGGCGGTGACGTTGCATTGGTTCGAGTATGTGAGTGTTTCATCAGACTTCCAGGCAGCAGCAGACTGTCTGTTCTTGTACCTTTAGCTGTTTGTTTTCGTGTGTTTTAAGGTGTTGCATTCAGCTACAGCCACGCAACAGACGAAGGAAACAACCCACAAAGATAGGAATACAAGCTTATGTGTGTTTCTCAGATTTGTACACACACTGGGTGATTATTGATGTAATATTTCACAATATGGAATGAATATGGTGTTGTAGTAGTAAAACCAACGTAGTATTCGGTTTTAAAGGGGAATTCCACCACTTTTTCAAATTCCCTGCTTAATTCAATCACTTGCAAACAGAGTCATTCACGGTGGTTTGGTGTGACGTGGGACATTGTAGAGAAACTTACTTGCTCAGATTTCTTCACAGTGGTGGTGATATGAGCCAGAAGACGAATAAAGACATTCTATTTACTATCCAAAAAAAAGGTGCAGTGTTGATAATGCGAAATTAGTGGTGAATCTTTTCCTTGCATACTGTTTAATTTAGTTAAATACTTTTTATGCCACAACCTGATCTCAAAACAATGCCTCAAGCATCAGACATTATCTACGTAACTATTTTATGTAGCAAGTTTCTGTACTGCTGTTTTTAGAGGCATCAAATGCTTCAGATGTTTGGTTCTTATCACCACTATTGTAAACAATGGTAAACGATGGTAAACATGGAAAGTCTTTAAGCTTCTCTCGAATCAAGCAATTCACATTAAAGACTTTAAGTGACTCTGTTTATGTCTTCATTTAATTATGGAGAAATTTTAAAAACTGTGGAGTTCTCCTTTAATATATATTCAAAAGGCTATTATCACAGAAAATTAAATTTTCATTGCTTCTTTGAAAGTAGAGTTTGTTGTGGTTTGTAAACTTTGTGAAACTTTCAAAATAAATGATTCACCCACATAATCCAAATATAACGCTGTTGTCAGAACAAAACCTTGTATCTCCAAAATGGTAACTTTACAGGAGAAGGAAAAGACCTACTTTATTTTTACTGTAAGTCAATGGAACCAGACGTTTTTCAAGTCATTTTGGGCTGTTTGTTTTGGTCCATTCATCATGAAATTTACACACAAAATAAATGGTAACAGGTATTTTCAAATTATGTCAAAAAACTGAAAAATGACAAAAATGGACATACAGTGTTTTGTTCCGACAGCAGCGATGTAATATATGGAAACCAATCTGCAAAAACAGACCATTTGGAATTTATTGTTTTTGTGATGTCACAAAAACATGGGATAAAGGAAGGCTGGAAAATGGTAACGTCAGAATGCATTAAAAATGCTTATTGTACATAAACCCCACACAAATGTCATGAGTTTGGTCTAGGGGGAAAAAATTAAATGCGAGATGCAACGCAAAATGTAGGACATGGGCCCTTTAAATGTAAAAGAAACAGTGTTAGTCCATCTACTCATACTTAGACAACAGATAAAATCAGATAAGACTTAATTACCATGTTATTACATGATGGCCCTGAGCCTACTGTTATTCTTACATTAATCTTCAGGTGATCAGTCACAAAGGTGTGTTATGATGAATACATCAGATTAAACTGTATTGAGATGAGTAAGCTGTGTGTGTCTTGTAATGAACGACTGTCGTGTGCAGTTGTTGAGTTTGTACAGTTGAACTGAGTTGCACTGGTGGAACTCGTCCATGCTGGCAGATCCACCCCATTATGCTGGAACGTGCCGTCACCTCCTCCCCCTCTGATTGGTGCATTCCACTCTTGAAAGAAGGTGAGGTGAAGCCAGAACAGCTCTGTGAGGTGAAACAGGTGGCAGCCAGACCGAGGGGACACCGAGTGACGCTGTGCTATCAGTACCCAATGTTTACTCAGTTAGTTTACTCACAGTGAGAGGAAGCACCACCTAAAAGACATAGTTTGGTCAGTGAACATGCAGTTTTTCCAGCAAGGACTTTGCTTGAGCTATGATTGAAAATAAGTGTTCCTAAATGGTTCTTGGTGTGGAATTTTGGTTCTTCAATTAGTGTAGAATCTTCTTTAAATTAAAAAACATATCTCTTTTACAAAAATGTTTTTTTAAGGGGAAGTTCACCAATTTTTCAAAATTACTCTGTAAGTAAATCATTGAGATCATGATTTAATGTGAAATTGTTTATTGTAGAGAAGCTTACTGACTCAGATTTCTTTACAGTGATGGTGATAGGAACCAGGGGTCACAATGTTAACAACACAAATATAGCCATTTAATTCACTATACAAAACCACCAGTGAACCAGCACGAGTCTTCTAAGTTATTATATATAATGCTGATGATGGTAAAATTGTGGTAAATCTGGTACCTCAAGGTACTTGAGGTTAAAACCTGAGGTCAAAACTATAATAAACAATGAATCAGGCATGATGCAGTGTATTCATAACCATTTCATGCAGTAACTTTCTGTGATGTAGCTTTGGGAGGCATTAAACTGTTCAGACGTCTGGTTCCTATCACCACCACTATGAACAATTCTGACTTGGTAAGTTTCTCAAAAATGGAGCATTTCATATCAAACCACTCTGAATGATTCTGCATCTTTACCATTTAATTATGTGGAAAGTTTGCACATCTATGGAATTTTCCTTTAAAGTAGCATCTATTAAAAGGTTCCTCAGGGAACTGAAAGTGCTATGGCATCATTCCAAAGAACCATTTTTGGCACCTTTAATTTAAAGAGTGATGAAGCACAGTTGGTACGACTTTTCTCAAGAGGATCGTATGCTTACAGCTATTTGCTGTTCATTCACACAACAGTACTACATAATAGGAATAAGTAATTGGTCGATTTTTGCTTAGTATTTTCTCAGATTTACCACCTCAGAGCCAGATTTTATGCCACGTCATTTGCTGCTGGCTCCTCATCTGGTTGAGTCATTATGAAATCAGTCAAGATGACTAGGCAAGTTTTATCATGACTGGATTAAAGCCTATTCAATATGACACTGAAGGGCACGGCTACTGCTGTTACTAAGCCTTGTGCCAGTTCCTGTCAGGTCATGCTGAATTGAAAGAACTTGTACCTCTTCATATTCTTCAAGCCTCTGAGAGAGTCCTGAGACTTAAATCATACAGATTCTTCACTCTTTCACGATATTAGAGTAGTATTAGTGGAGTATTAGTAGTTTTGCACTGTTTCTCTGGGGAAAACTGCAGCACAAACACAAAACACAGAGCTGGCTTTGCCCTTGACTCGCATTCCTCCTCAGTAATCTGCTTCTTCCCCTTCACTCCTGCTGCCCTGCTCCCTCTGCAACCTCAATGACCCCAGCAAGAGCACAGCGTCTCTAAGACACAAAGTCTGACCACACATGACACCGTGCACGGCAGGTGGTCACAAGAACTCTGATGAAAGGGCAGTGGCAATCACAGCGTTGTCGTTTTGTGTATTCTTTCTCAAAACAAAAATCAGAGGAAAAGTGCTCTGTGTAGCTGGTAAAGTGAAGAGTCTGCATTGTGACTCTAAATCACTTCCCTTTAATAGATCTGCATGTTTAAAATATAGATGCTACAAAAGTGATAACACACTTCTCGCATCTTTTCTTGGTGTCACGAACCCCAAATAACAGAACTGATACACTGTCAAGAGTGAATTTGTTTTAGTATCGAATTAAGTTGTAAGTAAAAGTTATAGACTGGAATTATTTATCATTTTATTTATAATTTTGTGTCATTTATTAGGTGCGTCTAAAGTAGCGTTTCTGTCTGTCTTGTTTCCTAATTTGGTCCTGATCTCCACTGACTTTTCGCAGAATCAGCACAAGCGAATGCAGCAAAGCAGATAAACCTTTTTGGCTTTAAAATGAAAATCTAACGAACTAACAGCTTGTGTTAATCTGTTAATCTGAAAGCTAAGACCTGTTTCAAATCACCATTTTTTTGTCTTTTTGGAATTAACTGCAAAGACCTGTAAGTGGGTCCACAGTTCAAATCTTCACTCTTATAAATACATAACTATATAGAGTAACAGAGCAGTTACTGAACAATTTATAATATTTACTGGATAATTTGTGGTGGTTACTGAATAATTTGTGGTGGTTACTAAACAATGTTTGGTAGTTACTGAAAACTTCATTGTAGTTACCGAATAATTTATGGTGGTTATTGAATATTTTACCATAGTTACTGAATAATTTATGGTATTTATGAAATAAAATATTGTAGTTACTGAAAATAATAGGGCAGTTACCTAATAATTTGAGGTTGTTGCTGAAGAATATATGGTAGGTACTGAAAATTAATGGGAGTTATGGATGAATTTTTTGTAGTTACTGAATAATTTATGTATGTTACTCTAAAATTGATTGTAGTCACTGAATAATGAATAGTATTTACTGAATAATTGATGGTTATTACTGAATAATTTGTACTAGCTTCTGAAAAATGTATAGTAGTTACTAAAAATTCATAAATAATTTATAGTAGGTATTGAAAAATAAATCTGAAGGTTAATAACTAAATAGTAAGGCTCATGATTTATGATTCAGACACTACATTCACCCTGAAGAAAAAGCAGTTCCACACCCCATAATACACACAAACAGTCTACAGGCCACATCTCACTGGTACTGGGTCATGGAGGCCTTGGAACATGTGTTTGTGATTCCTCCTCTGGCCTTGAGGGCTGGACTGGATCTCACATACACTGGCCTAATCTGCACCTGCCCCTGACTGAGAGCTCTCAGACAGGCCAAACAGAGCTGACCTTTGTCCTTTCTTCCCAAAGCAACTCTAGAGGAGCTGAAGTCGAGTGTTGATGTATTCTGGAAGAATGATAAGTGTTATCTTTCAACCAAACTCAGCGAGACGGTGCCGCCAAAGACAAGCGTGTTTTCAACCTTAGTGTGTCAA